ACCTAAACGTTAGACAAATTCCGGGCTCGGAAGTGCATTTTTTTTTCTGTGTTCCCTTGCCAGATTTATATGGGTCTGCATGAAATATGTTCATATGAGTTATTGACCGAGCGTAAAGTCAGGATGGCTGGATACTGGCCGGGTTCTATTTTTGCATTTAAAAACGCAGAAAAAGAACGAGGCTAATATTCAGCCACCTCGACCGAATAGGCTTGGTCAAGAGAGTTTACAATCTCTTGACTTAGTCAATAAAGGACTTACGATATTGAAAAAATATTTTGCTTTAATAAAAATCAAGAACGACTTGTTTATTTTGAGAGCCGAGTTTTTTCTTGCGCGGGACATAATTGTCCAAATCGCGTTCTCTTGAGAGTGCTGTCACGAGGTCTGAATTGGGAAACAAATGTGAATGTGAACAAAGTCTATTCAGACAAAGAAAGAAAAAAATGTATATCCGAGCCTGCCAATTGTGCGACCTACAACTCAGTGGACTCCCTCGTCGAGGTCTGTAATTTGGTTTACGACTTGTTAATTCCATTACTGAGTAGACAATAATAACGTTATCATATTTTTTCAAAATCTATTGTACTTAAGAGTCTGAGCCAGTGATACATGGAGATGTATTGGTCAGCGTTCTCATTGGTTTGCCAGCTTTCATTTGATGCCAATTGTTCATAAGTGTCATGGTTTGCAGCCAATATTTATCGACTTCAGTCTAGAAAATAAAGAAAAAGGCTGATTAATATCAGCGAGTCTGCAATGTGACATGAATATTGGTGGATGTGGATGTTCGCTATAACAACAAATGTTAAATGATTGCATTGGAGGCTTATTACATTGAGGACCAACTGTTATAATATTTAGGACTTTGTTACATTTAGGACAGTTATTACATTTAGGCCTTCAATTAAGGCACTAGACGGGAGTATCGAAACGTTGGGTCTATGAATTGTAACTTCTTCGGTTACATTCATGAAATCTGTAAACCAGAGCAGCATCAAACCATGTCTGATTGTCCACCTGGTTGCCATGTGAACTTTAATATATTTTATGAAAATGATATCATGAAACGTAAAGAGGGTTGATTCCTTATTTGTTAACAATAAAAGGCTTACATGGAGATTATTTGAGATTTCTTTCTGTTATTCCGCGAAAAGATTCGATCGAGACATTGTCAACCATGCTCCTCATCAAAATGTTATTAATTGTGTACTTTTAAATGAGGAAATGAATAAAGTCTTTTTTTTTCGACACATGAGCAATCGAAAAAGCTTTTTGAATGGATTAAGTTCCATTGTCAAAAATTCATAGTCTGACGCTCAAATCTCAAGCTATAGTGAGTGTTTTAGGAGAAACAGGCTTATCAGAATGGTCACTCCTATAGTTCACGAGGAGATATTTCTCAACCAACACTCCCTGGAGAAAAATTCTGAAACAATTACGCAGGTAAAAACGACTACAGAAAGAAAAAACTATGAATATTTTTTTTGGTTTGTTTGTTGTGTTTTTTTTTTTCAATTCTTGCCTCTATTGAGAGTAACGATATTTTGATTAGCATTGATCTGCTTAATATTTTCTCCTTTTGGTAAGATGTAGACCTTCTTAACACAAATGTATCCAGCGCTCGTTTCTTCGACAAGGAGGAGACTTTTAGATTAATTGAGATGTTCTTTTATTAATCTTCGGATCGATACAAAGCTATATGAGCATTACGAGGGTTATTTGTGCGTGTTCTAATTTTTTTTTTTTTTTTTTTTTTAACGAACTTAATTTAGGATATACATAGTTCTAAGCTAAGAAGCAACAATTCGATGACGACTCAGATCTCAAAGATTTCAGTGCCACTTTCATGGTTATTGCGAGGCTGGACATTAATTTTCCTTGGCAATATCACCATGGAGGTTTCATGTACTTGAGAAGCTCGCTTTATGCTTGTTACTTCAACTGCAGTTGGGGTGACACGAATGATCCTTCTCTTGAAGCGAGATCTAATCTGTATGAATAAGTAAATATCAAAACGATCTCAAGAATTGTACAACAAAACGTTCTTCGAATAAATACAACAATCGAAGTGAATTGAATTTCATATTTCAAAGTGGAAGCTTTCGGGTTAAAAATCTGAGCAAAGTTCTAAATTACAAAGAAACTTCTTAATAAAATTTAATAGCATACCTCTGAGTTTCTCACGCAGTGCTGGGTAGCAAAAATGTCCAAACCTTTACTGCTATTAAGCATGAGTTCTCTACTTTGTCTCTGTATTACACTAAGTTCACCACCTGGTAAATTTGTAAGGAAGGGGTAGTACAACTTCATGCCTTCACGGGGCACTTTTCTTTTTCAATCCTACAATTCCCATGAGTGACCAAGAGAGAAATTCTCCTTACAATATCAATACAAAATAAAGAAGACAACTGATGAGAACCAAGAAAAGTATCAATTAGGGGATTATTAGCTGATCCAATACCAAATTCTCAGAAATAAAATCAGAAGAATTGTATAGCAGACAGTGAGGAGAATTACTAATAATACCTTCGAAGTTAAAGGGCTAAACGCTGTTTTCTAAAGAATGCTGTTACTGTTAAAAGTTCATCAGCCGCGTAACGTGTGTTTTTTCAAGTATGAATTAATGAAATAATGTGAGAGTTTTTTTTGTGTCAGGAGAGACGAGTTCTTAATAGACATGGGTTAGGTGGGCAACAACGACTGCTTGTTTTGATTCCTGAAGCCTCATTGTCATACAAAAACGTCGCAAAAAGAGTCAAATGATTATTTTTCTATCTCAAACTAAATAAAACATTACAAGTTGGCACTTCTACCATACATAGTAACATCCTCGCCAAATTATAAAATATCTGATTTTTGATTGCCCCTATGGAAAGTAGAGGCAGGCCCGCAGAAATATTTTTCCATATTTAAAACTACAATATTATAACCAGCTAGTTGGCTTGGTTTCAGTTCCATAATCAGTGTACTTTTGGAGAAATTTATATAAACGTTTTCCCTGCTTTACCCACATGTCACTTTCAATAATAGAAGTGCCAACTTGTGATGTTGTACTTAGCTTGAGATAGAAAAATAAACATTTCACTCTTTTTTTGCGACGTTTTTGTATGAAAATGAGGCCCCAGGCCTCGAACAAGCAGCCGTTGTTACTATGGCAAAAAGAGTGCTGCGACCTTCAAAAAGGGCATTTTTGTGCATCCCCCCTGAGGGCCTAACTGCATGTAAAATTTGAAGAAGGGTTGAAAGTTTTCATTTCCTAAGATGTTTCATTCTTACAGACTTGTTCTTACCATTGTTGTGAGTTGGCATTATTCGTATAAGACAACAAAGTATGAGGCTAATGGCTTATATAAATCTACCACTGGCGCCGCTGAAATACTTACCTTATTTGTTCTCTGTTTTTGTCTTTTGCATGCTGCATGATCATCATCTCCTTGATAACTCGCACCAGTATCAATGTGTTTAACTGAAAAAAAAGTGATAACACCATGGATAACTATTCAAAGGAAAACAGGAGTTCGCACTTCAGCTAAGTGGTCCTAGCGGTCTGAGTGGATGGTGGTCAAAAGTTTCCCCCTAACCTTTCCCTCTCCCCACCATTCCGAAAGACATTTCTCAGGTTTCTTTCACCATTCGTCAGAAAACATTTATACAGCTGGGAGGAGAGGGCGAAAAGCATTGTGAACGCAAAATGTTTTGCCCAACAACACAACACAACAACCCGGTAGAGACTCGAATCAGGATATTCAACCTAAAAATCTTGCACGGTAACCGCTGACGGCATCTCTTAACATAAGGGTCACCTCAAGAAAAATTATATATACTTCATGTTTCGTTGAAAACTATTGAACAGAGTCAAAGAGGTTAAAAAAGGCGGCGAGAAAAATTCTCACAAAACAATGATAACTGAAGGCAAAGTGTGAAGGATAAAAAGGAAAAACTTTAAGAATTCAACATACCAACTCAATCAGCACAACGAATACAACAAATATCCAGATCATGCCGTTAGTGGATGACATCCAGCAGCTGAATAAAAATTAATTACGCGAAACTTTGATAAAGGATCAATTAATTTTTTTTTTGCGCATGCATGTACGCAGGACCCTCCAGGCCGGGTTTGATAACAACTAAAAACAACAAATAAATAACAAAACAACAACAAAAACAACAACAACAAACCAAACAATTAAACAAGACAAAAAACAAAACAATGCAAACAAGCAAACAACACAAGGACAAAAAAAAAGAGAGAGAGAGAGAACGAGGATTCGTGATAGAGAAATGGCTTGACAAAAAAAATCATTTATTTCTTACAATTTCTCACTGACATAGCTTTTAATCCCTGGCCCGGTTCCTGCTGCTCTTTTACTTTTCAAAAGATCATTAAAGAGAGAATGGTTTTTTATTTCATAGTTACCCCATGAAAATCCATGAGAAACCTTCATCTTGTCACTGATATTGTAAACTTTTACAACAAACAGGTAGAGATAAACTGCCTCGATCAACATCCAGCAGAAAGCGGCCATTAGGAAATATTGCACAAAAGCTGCTACTGTAACACAGGCAGACTGCACAGGAATTAAAAAGTTGAGTTAAGAGTTGATTGAAAGTCATAAAGATTTACTGAAAGAGATTCCTCTCTTCTCGTTTGATATAACATCTCACCTTGTTCTCAACAGCACCACTTCCGGTTAGGAAGATCATTTGACCTGCTCCAAGTGAAGCGACTAGACTCACTCGAATCTGAGATAAGGGTCCCCTCATGTCTCTAATCAAAAGTAAATGACTGATTTTATTCTAAGTCAGTTCTATCCTCATTTTATACAAAGCCTGGTTATATTTTTATGATTCGACTTGGCTGCTTAAAGGAATCTTAGCTATGCATTTAAACTGATATCATTTCTTGTTGATTCTATATTCTCGGCTTGCTTTGGAATGCTTGCGTGTAACTATGTCATGTACTTACGTAAGAACAGCATAACTGATGATTGTTAAAGTGATTCCAACCAGAGAAAAAGACGAGCCCACATACGTGAGAATTTTCAGCGCTTTTTCGTCAGTCTTAAAAAATGAAATCAAAAACAGTGATTCAATATTGGTAACGGAAGAGGGCTACACACCATATACCTGGATTAATGCAGATGTAAGAAAAAGTGCCACATCAATGCTTTGTAGTCTTATTGCCTTCTGAAATCAATGCATGTATGCATAGCAATATTCCTACCTCAGGTAAAACTTTACTGCTAGTTCCCTTGTCAAACTGCATAAGAACTGCAAAGTGAGTCAAATGATTGCAGCTGCACTCAGTGTAAGATTCGTTCCTCGATGTTAGGAGGCACCCTTGTCCTGACCAACTAGAATGACAGCAGAAAACAGTTAGAAAAGCAGTCTTTAGATTCTAAATGAACAAAACAAACAAAACAACTGCCAGCCTTACAGACCGCTGAGGACGCGGAAGCCTGAGAAGGAGAAAAAGAAGGAGTAAGAGGTGACCACACAACGTGATGTACCAGTGCACAAAAGCAAAGTCCTTAAGCAAATTGATAATTTGAAGTGAACGATGTCATCAACTCATTCAAATCGGTTTACCTGTTTTTTAAAGTATTCCAAAACACGCAGCTTCTGTTCGGTGCATCCTGAAACCGTAAAGTACCGTTATTGTTACGTAGTACAGCGACTCGCTGGCTAATGTGGAGGGGGTAGTGCTCTCGCCGGAATTTTTCATACCCCACCCCATCACTTTAGATAGATGTAAAGAATTATTCGCAAGATTTCTAGTCTGTTTCCTCTCTTTAAAGAAACTCCCTAAAGAGAAATAAGACCTTGACGTAATAAGATGATGATAATATTAATGATGATAATAGTAATGATAATAATAAAAATAAATAGAAATAGTAAGGAAAAACAAATCAGATCAAAACCAAAGAAAAAAGAAAACGCAACCACAAAAGTCACAAAAACATACACGCAAAAATAAGAGAAAAAAAAAACCAAATCAGTAGTATATGCAACGACAAGCAACAACAACAACAAAACAAAAACAAACAAAAAAAAAATATTAAAAAAATATAGCAAGACCAAAATGGAACAGAGGGATACATAAGGGGAGGTTAAATTGAAAAATTTTTATCTAAATTTTCCAGAAATACTAGCCCTGTTCAAACTCTATTTCAGAATTACGAATTCAGATGCAGCTCTTCTTGATTAATTGTAACTTACCGCAAGGTTTCTAAATCTTAACGTAACATCCTTTCTGAAAGTGTTGTTCCTCGGCCATATCGTTGCAGACAAGATATTACTATTTAATACCCAATAGATAAACAAACAAAGCAATAGTTAAAAAAAAAACAGCAACAACAACAGAAAAAAAGAAAAACAATCAAAAGACAAAAAGATAAATTAATAAAAAGGTAGAAAAACAAAATGAAGACGAAAGAAACAGAAACAAACGAGAAATTCAAATTGAAGTCCAGAAAAATTCTCTTATGCCGTATGTAGGTTATCAGCATACCAAAAGAGATTTATTTGAGATGAAAGATATTATATGCAATACTAAGTTTTAGCAAACCTGATTTTATCGACAGGAACAGAGTCGGTCTGGCCTGTTAGGAATATTTCATGGAGATCTTTGTAAATGACACAAAGTACAACTGATCCTAAGATGTAATAATGGAAACAATTGTAATACTACGAGAATATTGAGAAAAAAGGACAATAAGATATGGTTTGATGCTACTCTGGTTTACAGATTTAATGAATGTAACCGAAGACTACTTTATGGCAAATAGGGTGGTGAGAATCGAAAGCGAGGTATTTGTCAGTCGGTGTGGGTAGGTTTACGGTAGACATTTGTCTCTAAAGTACCCTGAACCCCTCCGGACACATTTAAAAAACAAGAGAGGGCAAATTTCTATCCTTTTAACGCTCAAGGGTGAATTGGATAGACGGCTCTACTGAATTCAAATCCGATAGGAGGCACTCCGCTTCATTTCTGGATACCGCAGAAATAACATCATCGACATATCGTTTCCAGAAAAAGGGTTTAACAGGTGAAGTGGCTAAGCCCCTTCGTTCCACGTCTTCCATTACTATATTGGCAATGACAGCAGAGACGGACGAACCCATAGCTGCACCAAACGCTTGTTGATAGTAGATGCCCTGTACGCAAATTGCGGGGTTTTGAGGCAAAAAGACAGCAGATGAATAATATCCTCTACAGGCAAAGAAGTTCTTTGTCCTAAGGAAGCATCTTCTCTGAGTCTCTCCTCCGCAACCTTAACGGCAAGATCAACTGGGATTTTAGTGAAGAGAGAAACAACGTCGAAAGATACTAATTATTCACAAGCGTTAAGAGTATTATCTCTTATGAAATCCGCAAATTCGCAGACATTTTTACAGTTTAATCAGTATTCCCAACAACAGGCAACAAAATTCTCGCAAGATAACCAGAAATTGCATAAGTCGGAGAACTAACAAAAGAGGCAATGGGTCTCAAAGGAATTCCCGGTCTATGAATTTTAAGTAAGCCATAAAAACGTGGACATAAGCCTTCGTTGCTGTATAACATTTTTTACGTACAGTCACTAATCTTACAAGCTTTTTTTTTTATCTTTTTTTCTCACTACCTTATTTGCCATAAAAATTCTGTAGCCAAAACTTTACTCAGGAGGGCTGACTGTCTACCATCGTCACTCGATTCGAAGACTGAGGAGAGGAAATATGTTTTTAATGTCCTAAGGCAAATGGCTATCCAAAAACCTTTCTCCGTAACTTCAATAAACCATTTACAACTAGTAGCACTCCTGATGAAAGGGAACCAGCGACTGGTTTTGCTGTTATTCCTTACATTCAGGTGTTACGGAATCCATCAAGAGAATTTTTAACAACCACAACGTTGAAGTTGCTCAAAAACCTGTTCAGACGAGCCGACGCCATTTATTCTATTCCTTGTAATGACTGTGATAACAAATACATCGGACAGACCAAACGTCAGTTTGGTACACGTTTGAAAGAGCGTCAAAAAGTGATTTTCTTTTACAAAAAAGAACAGTCAGCTTTATCGGAGCACACAGGCCTTTGTTTGGAAACTTTGTATATTAACTCCGCCCACACTCCTTTAAATCGTGATGATGGCGGCTTACTTCCTAACGCCTCTTTACACCTCTTCGGAGAAAAAGCAGCTAATTAGTGATCATATAAAAGGACCTCTTGTCGCAGCGTTTAGATCACCCCTGATGAAGGCTTTGGACAGGAGTGTCGAAACGTTGGGTCTATGAATTGTAACTTCTTCGGTTACATCCATTGAATTTGTAAACCAGAGTAGCATCAAACCATGTCTGATTGTCCACCTAGTTGCCGTGTGAACTTTGATATAAAAAAAGAACAAGTTGTCACGGTTTAAAGACCCTGTGCGTTTATTGGTATGTTTCATTGGTATGCTCAATTTTGTAACAAGAATAAAAAACTTCGACCAAAGGAGACATAAGCTAATAAAAGAAAATCAATACAACTAGATTAAGATATCAGCCATTCAGCTAGAATTTTCTTTAGTACTTGAAACCCAGCCCCCCTTTGACCAAGAACACTAACAATCGCTAAAATAATTTGAATAATACGACGAAAAGATATATCATTATCTAAAAAAGTGAAAAATATAACTCTCCAACCTTTATCGAAGCCTGTAACAGGAAGGCTGACGTGGTTTTCTCCTTTATCATCCTCAAATTGTACTCCAGTTTCATTTTCGTGGAAAATCTTCCTGACCAATATATCTAACAGCAAAACAGCGACTTATTTTAAGTGAGGGCCAAAATAAATTCAGATGCTTTCGTAACAGTCACAAATTGTCGGCCTCAAAAGTTTTGGGACAAAAAGGCTGAGGAACCATCACTTAGAGGTAGTAAATGCAAGTAGTTTGCAAGGATCATCATTCAAAGGAGCGTTCTCGATTCAAATGTCACATAAAGTTCTAGTGATCATTGTTACTAACATATATTCGAAGGGTTTTTCATTTTCTTAATTTATTTATTCGTCCTATTCATTTTTTTTTTCACTCCCTCATAGCTTATTCTTGACCATGACGATATTGAAGAACACATGGAAAATAGAAAGAATTCTTGGGAATTGGAGATAACTGGTGAGCGATAAGAATCTGCTGATATAAACTGCCATAAAAGAGGTCCAAGGCGTTTCATACCTCGCAAAACGTCTAAAAAGTTGTAGCGTTAGCAGATGTTTCTAAAATATGCCACGAATGATGCATGTATTCATCCTGAACTCCGAATTAGAAATCAAGAAAACTTCCAAATCAGCTTTTAAGATCTACTCACCTGCATGTTTACCACGGATGTCAATCTTAGGTACGGTCTGATTAAGGAGATTTTGGGCATAATTTCCGATGACTTCCTCCAAATCAGTAACAGTGAGGAAAGTGCGTTCCATATTTTTTTTAGTTACTTTATTTCCAGGAGAGTTTGTCACTTCTTTTAGGATGGTGTCGACAAGTTTCTTGCCTGGGGACTGAGTTAGTAGTTGGATTAGACAAAACCTTCAGTAGCTTAGCTCTTAAAGGAATTAATAAATTCATGGGTTACACAGTCTGGAAAATTGAGCTTTGTTTAACCAATAAACTTAAGAGGAGTTTAATTTCCTGACGATTCGATCGAACTCTTCTATTTACACGTCATCGCCGGTGGTTTCTAGGTAAAGTGTTACGAACATGCTGTCATACATTAAAAATGGAACGACTGATTACAAGATTATAAATAACATAGGAAATACTGATAACATAAGAAAGAACGTACTCGCAATTACATTTCTAGCTTTGCATTATCCGCGTGAAAGTCGAACTTATATCAATAGCTACGCGGACTGTGGTTATGAGGGGAATTGGTTTCTACAGTGTCTAAAGGGGGAGAATTAAAGGACCAATAACAATAGGCACTACAAATGTTACAAAAAAATAAAATACACCTACGTCGCTCAATGGTGTCAGCTTAATGGCAGGAAAATTCAGTTTCCAGCACTTTTTCACTTGGATTCTGCCCAAATACGACGAGTCTGTTGTATTTGTCAATATAATAGATAACTGCATGCGAGTTTTTTCATTTTTTCTGCACCCCCACATTTTAAAACAGTGATCTCTCCAGGAAGACGTCTGACTGAACAAAGAGGCCAACTGCCTACACCAAGAGCTGCAGCAGGTTTTGTCAATAGACGTAGGTGTCTTATTGTCGCATACTATCCTATGCCAGTACTGACGCATTTTATCACGGAGTTGCTGACAGTTCGAGCAGTTCAGCTCTGAGGGTGCGAGTGTATCATTAGGGCGGGAGCAATGCCCATCTGCGTTAGATTCGTAAACATTAATAAGAGACATTTTGCATTGTAAATGCTGTTCCTCGTTCATACACATACCGTTTTTATATTTTTTATCTATTTATTTATTTTTATTAGTATATTACTTGCTTGTCTTTTTTTTTACCGCTTGATTCTTTATTCTTTTAAAGCTCGAATTCAACCCCAGCTGCTTTTCCCACCCGGTAAATAACGCATTGCAGTTTCGGTTTGTGTTTGTATGGGTATAGGTCTGTTTTTCTTGTTTTTGTTTTTGTTTTTCGTTTTTTTTGTTTTCCTTAGTATCAGTTTCTCACTTCTCACTTTCCATTCGTTGAACAAAGTAGTGAGTGGTTGGTATCGAGAGTTTGTATAAAATAGTAATAATAAAAATAAAGAATTAAAAAGAAAAAAAGATTATTAGGATGTTCAGAACCCTTAGTTTTTTTTTTCTTAATTTTTTCCTAATTGTTTAGGACGGGTCCCGCTTTGAGTAACATGGTACTTTCTAACGTTTCTAGGCCACAACCCCCTTTGTTTGCTTTTTCTCCTCTTTTGGACAAATACAAGCAATGACATATCAGTGATCTTTTGGAATAGGTCGCTTTTTTAGATTTATTTAGCAACAGATAATTTATTGTTTAACCTCTGACGGCAGGGGTTAATTAGTCGAACGATTTTGAACCTTTATAATTTCTATTTCCTGTTTTTTTTTTGTTTTTTTTTTTCGCCAAGACAAAACATACCTTGTGCTGAAGTCGGAATGGTCATACCAGCTGTAATAGAGACAAAATAAAAATATATAATTCCCCAATTTACAGCCATACCGAAACAAGGGGTGAGGGCTGGGGTTTAGGGGTCACAAATTGAAGGTGGCTTTTGAAGCAAAATCCCTTTCGTTTGCTCAGTGGCTTTTAGCCTTTTATGTGAAGGAACGCGGGATGCCATCGACAGTTCCAGATACAAAAAAATTCCTCAAGGAAGTTGCGAGAAACCACTAAAATAACTGCATAGAATGAAAAACTCATTATTTCAGAAGACATGAGGCACATGAAGCCATAGTCCATGTCTATATGTAGTTTGTCAATGCATAGAACAGAGATTCGGTGATTGACAGAAATGCTTTGATAAAATAGGTTTTTTTTTGTATCATAATTAAAACAGTAAAGGTGATATGAATGGGTAAATTACTTTTAAAAAATAGGCAAAAGAAAGAGGAAAGAAAAATTGAACCACCTGACATCCCTTCCCCCAATAAAAAGGAGAAAGAAAACCATGAATTTATACTTAAAGGACGAATGAACGGACGGATGAATAGATACCATTTGTTTCCAACAAACAGACAGAATGTTTGATAAACTGCTCAGTTCTGTTTTAGAAAAATAGCTGTTATCTTTTTTTTATTATTATTATTATTTCATTGGTATTTTAAAGGGAAAGTGCTATACAAACTAAAAGAAGTTTGCCTAAATCAAAAGTTCCTGACTTGCTTTGTGGCTTTGTTGCCTGAAATCACGTTAAAAAAATAAATTAAAAAAAAAAAAAAAAGAATTCAGATTTTAAAATTTAAATCCGCCATCTTTGTTATGAAGTAGTTATGACGTAGCAATGGCCAAGCTGGTAATCTCGACTAATAGGGGTAAAAAATAAAAAAATAAAAATAAAAAAAAAAACTAAGAAAACAGCGGCGAGGAGAGCTAAACGACCCAATTCTCGACATGGATCTTAATTCAGACGTTGTAATACGGCCAATCACGTTTAAGCCGTAAAGTGGCTCTTCTTCGGGAGAAGAAGAAATCGCTGTTAACGAAGCACCTCGGGAAAAGATAAAAGGAGAAATATGCAAGCGCTGACGTCTTGTAAACTGCGAGTGGTGCTCTTGCGGCAACTGTTATGAGATGCGAGAGTATATGCTGTCAAGAAATTAATTTACTTGGAGATCGACTTCATCTGGAATCGAAGATAACTCGTCTCAAGTAGAATCTGTTTTTAAAGTGACCTTTTTTGAGTTTTTACAAAGAAACAGCGCAGTGCCGCGACAGATTTATTTCACATTGCTAATTGAGTGATGTAGCGTGATCATCGAAACAGCTAAGAGAACCATAAATAAACAAGGTAAGAGTGTTATGTTAGATGTTTTTGCAAATTGTAATGACTTATGCCAGTTAACGGTGGCGACAAGTAGCCGCACTATGCATATTTCATAGTCGCTATCAAGTAAATTTTGCCGGACTTTGAGTTCGTCTCAAGATAAAACAACACAAATACACAGGGAAATTTTTACAGGAACTTTATAACCATCCTTTTTTCTTATAAAAGCTTTAAGCTCAGCAGATTGTGTCATATCGGTCATTGTTAAAACTGTTTTTGTTTTGAAAGTAGGAGAGAAAACGAATTTGGGCGACTTGCCGCTGTTTGTTTGATGCATGCTGACATTAACTCTTAAGAGGCTGTCTCTCTTATTTCCACCCGGTCAATTTTGCGTCAAAAATAATTTTGCCTGAAACTCTGTTAACAGAAAGACTTTACCTAGGAAAGAACTAAATTAGATTTGGTTTGATTCGAAATAATTTTCTGATTGCATTACGGGCCATAATTATTTCCCAGTCCGTAGGGACCGTCGCAACGTCTCGAAAATTGAAAAATAGGCATATTTTGTAACGTTGTAAAATATTTGATTCGCATAGTTAAGCCACAGAATTTATATCAGATTGCTTAAAAACCTTTCTAGTTTACCAAAAAAGTTAGAATTTGCCCTCTCAACAAATTTGAAAAGGCGAATTTTAGCATATTCTGACCACTAGAAATCGCCATCGGCCGATGGCCGTAAATAACCTTGATTTAGACGCTAAGTTTTGGGATTTGGGACCTGGTTGACGATTCTATCCTACACAGCCGTTAAGTTTAGACCTTTATAGGCAAAAATATGCAAAAACCCCTGTACGTTTTCGATTTTTCAAAAGTTATGACCGTTTGAATCAGCACATGTACGAGCATTCGCGATTTTTTCGCCTACACCAAAATCGAACCACTGGAGCAGATTTCGTCATAAATACAGCTTACCCGCTTTGCAGCCCGGCTTCATGGCTCACTTCAGAATTTTTCTAATAACCAAATTGGTGAAATCCATGATAACTTCAACAAATAGCTAGGTATTGCCTTCGAAAAGTAGGCGGCATCCATCGTGATTCGTGTTATCAAAACAAATGCCGGAATTGGCCACATTTCGCGGTGAATCACCCATTTAACATCGCTGCAGAGCTGAATTTTTTCCAAAATCAGAATATAAACTCTCCATGTCTGGAAGCTGAGGGAGAAATGAAGGTTTTAGGCTTCTGAAGTGAAGAAATAATCGCTTAAATTTAGATCCAGTTCGATGTTATACTGTTCTCACAAAGGTCCGCACAAAAGAGAAGACCGCTGATAGCTTGTGCCGTACGTTGTGCCATATGGTTTTGTTTTGTATCCCAAAGTAATATTTGGGCAGAAAAATTTTTGATGAAAAGAATAAATGCTTTTACCTGGAGTTTGATATCATTTAATTAATAAATAAATTTCAAATATCCTGAGCTTGCTTCTCTCGGTTCCGCGTCGATTGTGTCCACAGAACAGCAACCTGTCAATAGCCGGAGAAATCGGCTACCAACGTGTTAAAAACTTGACACATGCTTCGTATGAACAGATGCTATAAGTGTTGCTTTTGGTAAATTTTCAATCGATTTCATCAAAACATTTCACTGACTACTAGATATTATAATATATTACACTATAACAACGCCGTCAGAACTGGATATCGGAAGTAAAGGTAGTTTGTATCTGTAGAGCATATTCTACACTTTCAGCCACCGTATAAGACATTGTTTACATAAGTCTACTGAGAAATACACTGACAATCACTAATCACGTCCGACAGTTTGTCTATGAGGATCTGTTTTTTGTCTCTCAATTTTACAGGGATCTCAAAATGACTACAGATGGCTCTCAACAAAACCACATTGAATTTCTGAAGTGTGTTATTGTGGTAACGTTCACAGAGGTCCTACGTATCGTAGCAGATTGGATGTGAGACTTTGATCTCTTTGTTAACTTTGTCTACCAGATCTTATCTCTCGGAATTTTCCTGGACGCATTGGATATCTTCCTCCTCATCCAGTGATATCCCGATCACACCATGATCTTTTCGCCGCATTGCTGCTAGCCGAAAGAAAAAGCTCTGAACTTGCTTCTTTGTCAGCTACTGTTCTCTAGTGAACAAAGGTGCATTTGACTCATTTTTCGCATTTCGCATGTCCACTGCAACTTGGGCGGGGTCGGCCTTTCGCCCAGTTCTTTCTCCAAGTGTAAACCGTGCCGTTAGGTATTCTTTTACCTTCTCTGAAAATCTAACGCTGCCCCTTGGTTTGCTTACGGCCCATCCTGTTCGTAAAGACGAGTGGGGCGAAGTATCCACGGGAGAAGTGAGTGGTGTACTAGAATCTAACGAACAGCTCGAACACTCGATACCAGCGGTATCTATCGACGAGAACTTAAGGGCCCAGTCCCTTTTGATTGCATCATACTGGCTTTAACCTGCTGACTTTATGCTTTCCAACGTCCAGGTGCAGCTCCAGCTGCGAAAAGGTTTCGAACACTTCAACACATCCAAACACAGAGCATTCAAACAATGGCGTTGTACTCTCTGTTTCCTTGCTGCCCTTTGAACGACGCTTGACCACACGCTTTTCAGGAGGATCATAAAACCCTTGAGATTCTATGGTTTCAAGGGACGTTTGACCTTGGTGCTTGATATAAATTACGTCATATGGAATGTACTTCCCTTTACCGATGCCATAACATTTCCAAACTCTCAGACCGATATCTCCATATTCGAATCGAAGTTGTGGAAGCTACTAAAATGCTCAATCTTATTTATACAGAGAGTGTTCTTTGATTCGTCTACTATTCTTACTGCAGCTGTTGTTCCCTTCACTGGGTGTTTCGTCAATGCGTATCCTCTGTCCAATGAAAGCTTTAACAACCTCGCTGAAGACTCACTACAGACTGAAGCCTCTCTGGTTTCGAAAAAGCACTTGCATGCCATACTACACTTGCAGGCCTTCCAAAAAAAATAAAGGGTTAGCGGGTTCACCCGCAATGATTAATGCGGACCTCTGTTATGCGCGATAGTGCAATCGTTCAGCTTTAAATTCCAAAACGCCAAACTTCGACACATAGACTTACAGGTGGAGTTCTATGACTGATTCTTGAAGAGAATGCAGCTGCAATCCAAAGTTTCAACGGGACATTAAGCGCGAAACATGGCTTTAGTTTTCGAGTTTAGTTCGCATCAACGAGTCAAAGAAGAGTATCGACAGATGCCGACTGCTGAATTTTGGAGGTATTTGCGGCAGTTATCATAAAGTCCAGTTCACCAGTTTGGGAAGCGAGGAAAATCTGAAATTTCACATAAACCCATGATTTCTCCGGCTATTGACAGGTTGCTGTTCTGTGGACACAATCGACGCGGAACCGAGAGAAGCAAGCTCAGGATATTTGAAATTTATTTATTAATTAAATGATATCAAACTCCAGGTAAAAGCATTTATTCTTTTCATCAAAAATTTTTCTGCCCAAATATTACTTTGGGATACAAAACAAAACCATATGGCACAACGTACGGCACAAGCTATCAGCGGTCTTCTCTTTTGTGCGGACCTTTGTGAGAACAGTATAACATCGAACTGGATCTAAATTTAAGCGATTATTTCTTCACTTCAGAAGCCTAAAACCTT